ATATAGCTAAAATCTAACCATGGTTATATAATAGCAGCTGCATTCTGACGTGATAAACTGTATGTTTTATATTCAATTAACGTATGATTCAATTAGTCGACTAATCGAATAAATAATTGGTGATTAATCGATTATTAAAATAATCGTTTGTGGCAGCCCTAATTATGACCTGTAGATGATGGAGATTCAGCTTTTCGTTGAGAAATTTTATTGTGAAATTGTTGCAGCAGTTTTTCACAGAGTCTGACAGATTCAGCCTCTCCTCCTGTCAACGTGCTGATATTTAACAAGCAGCTGTTTCTTATTAACACCACTAACTTCTCCAGTCGTTTATTCTCTTTTTGTTTTAGATCTTACTGCCATCAAATTCAAAATTACGCCACCCCCCCAAAAAAAAAAAAAAAACAGTTTGATATATTTGTGTTGTACTGTAAATTAAATACAACTCYGAGATTTTCAGATCATTGCACTCTGCTTTTATTCACATTTCACGTTTTTTTTAAATTGGTTGTAAAAACTATCTAATATAACAAAATGTTTTTGTTTAGGGAGTCGAGAAGGAAAACGCCGGCGGTGGTGTGTCTCAAAGAAAACGAGCGCCTCTTTGGAGACAGTGCACTGGGAGTGGTGAGACTTCTTCCGAAACTAATTTTATTTATTCCAAATCATTTTAATTCCTCGTTTAACCAACTGTTCATATTATGTGCAACATTTCAGTCTGTGAAGAACCCCAAACTGGTGTACAGGCACCTCCAAAGCCTTCTGGGTAAAAAGCACGATAACCCTCAGGTCGATCTGTACCAGAGACGCTTTCCTGAGCACCAGCTGGAGGAGGACCACGTGAGAGGCACGGTTTCTTTTAAAAGCTCAGAGTGAGTCACTTTTATTTTAGCATCACATCATGCAGGAGGTATCACTGAACGCCTCATTTTATCTGATAAATCATCCCTGAGGTAGAGGAGTTCACATCAGTCCAGTTAACACTGACATCATCAGTTTAAAGATGAGAACTCAGCTCATCTCCAGCAGCTTCAACTTTCTTAAAGGGCCTGTGAAATGCTTATCCTTCAAATACAGAAAGGCAAAAAAAAAAAAAAAAACATTTATATTTAAGCAGGTTCCTGCAGATCCTTAAAAAGTCTTAAAAGTCCTTAAATTCATCAATTGAAAAATAAAGCCTTAAATAGCTTTTAAAGGTATCTTCAGAAGTCTTAAAAAATGTGAACACATTTTAAGTAGGATGACTGTAATTTGTATCAAATATTAAAATTGGTAACATTTATTTATTTTTGAAATATTCACATTTAGACATTCCCT